CGCGGGTGCACGCGTGCACACACACACAGATACACACACGCCCAGCCCCTGCTCGCGCTGTCTCAACACACACACACACACACACACACAGCCTGTTTTCTACCCGCTCGGACACGCGCGCGCGCACACGCACCCCGCGCACCGCCGGCAGCCCGCCCGCGTGTGCGCACACACACTCACACACATGTACGTACACACACGCGCGTGCACCGCTTCTCTGCTCACTTGTATGCACACACACGCACCTTTCCTTTCCCTGCTCAGTCTTGAACACACGCACACGCACGCACTTCCTTTCCCTGCTCAGTCTTGAACACACGCACAAGCACGCACTTCCCCCCCCTGCTCTCTCTCTCTCTCTCTCTCACACACACACACACACTCTCTCTCTCTCTCTGTGCTCTCTCTCTCTCACACACACACACACACTCTCTCTCTCTCTCTGTGCTCTCTCTCTCTCACACACACACACACACTCTCTCTCTCTCTCTGTGCTCTCTCTCTCTCACACACACACACACACTCTCTCTCTCTCTCTGTGCTCTCTCTCTCTCACACACACACACACACTCTCTCTCTCTCTCTGTGCTTACTCTTGCTCAGGCATATGCACACACACACACGCCTGCTCCTATATCCACCTATCTCTTGCCTGACTACATTTACACACATACTCCTGCATGCGCGCACACCTCTCCTGGGTCTCCAGGCTCCCTCCCTGTTCATCACTGCACACCTTTTCAGCCCTTACGCACACTTCTCTCACACACACATGCTCTCTCTCTCTCACACACCCCCACACACCCTCCTCCACTCAGCCCCTTCACACCCATCACCGCCTCCCTGCTCAGCCACAGACATCCCAGGCACTGGCTCATGGTCCCCTCTCTGCTTGCCCCTGCCAGCCCCGTCTGGCTCCTGCCCCCCTGGGTGCCAGCCAGCAGTGCCACGGCTCTCCCCCAGCGCCAGCCTGCTTCGTCTCTGCCCTCCCGCTCCAGGGAGGGTCAGCACCAGCCCTGGCCCTGCAGGCACCAGGATCCGGGCAGGTAGCCAGCTCCAGCCAGGGCCATTTCGGAGAAGATGGGACAGCCCAAGCTGTGAAGTGCAGCGGGGAGGGGGTGCCACACACCCACAGCACAGCCGCGTTGTCATTGCAGGCAGAAAGGGACCAGATGTGAACAAACAGCAGCTCCCAGCCCAGGTGCCAGGGCCGTGCAAAGCAAGGAGGCGCGTGTGGCCACTGCAGCGGGTAAGACGTGCAAAAGGGGTGTTCAGCTGCGTATGGGCTAGAGCTGCACCGGCCCACGGGCAGAGCTAGGCCGTTCGCGTTTTGCCAAAGGTCAGTAAATGAATTCACGGCCCTAGGAGGGTCGGGCATAAGGGGCAGCACGTGGCCTGGCGTCTCCTAGGGACAGTTTTGCACCATCTGAGAGGGAGAGCAAGCATGCACACCTGGGTTATCACCCAAACACTGCCGGCCAGGAACAGTCTAGGCCCAGCTCCCCGGCATCGCCCTTCCTGGCAGAGGTCTGTCTTCCAAATGAACATCATCCTCTCCAGGGCATCTCCCAACCAAGTTTAATGGCCACGCTGCACTGCAATTCATGCGAAAAAGTTTCTTCCATCAGGTTGCTTGGAGAGGGGCCAGCCCAGGTGAGAGGAGGCTGCCTTGACCACACGTGGGCCAGGCCCCTTGGCACGAGGAGCAGCGGTCCAGGCTGCACCGAGCGCCCCATGGACTTGGAGCACGGGAAGGTAACGGGGCTCGCGCTGGTTTTGCACTGATGCTGGATGTGATCAGGGTGCGCTGAGCAAAGGGAGCCAGGCAGGACTGAGGGCAGAGCAAGGGTGCAGTGGCACCTACCGGTCGCAGTGGCTCATTACAGGCAGAGAGCAGGGCTGAGATTTTTTCCTTCTTCACATCAGTGCCCAGCTCATTAGCAGCCAGGGAATATCTCCTGCATGGCTCAAGGCTGATGACTAGACTTTTTGGATGGGGCCGTGGCACCGCCCAGCCTCCCGGCCTTGAGAGCAAAGGCCAAGCAATCAGAAACCTGCCGTCCACACAAAAGGAAGAGAGCACCGAGGCTCTTAAATATCTCATTCCCAAGTATGTTTTGCATGAGAAAGGTAATGAAGCTGTACGTTCAAGGTGAGTTTTTCTCTCTCTTCCCCTTGGGAACTAGTACAGTGCTATGACTCTCTCTGCTACCAAAAAACAAAATCTTAAAATAATCCCTATTCACCCTCCTTTCTAGTGTTTAGTTCAGCACAGAGGTCTCAGTGGCCCCGTGGCACTAGATGGTGTGTGTATTATATACGCACACACACAGACGCCGAGTGAGAAGCTATTACTCCCCTCGCCTGCTTGCAGTGCAGTCGGACAGGGCAGACAGAGGAGGCAGAACTAGTCCGAACATTTTGGACAAAATGCTTTATTTGCCATTGAAATATGCTGCTTGCTGAAGCCAAACCATTTCACTGAGCCGTGCTGATTTTTTTATAAGGTTTTCACCACGGGGGCTCTTTTTGAGATCAGCAGCCGATTCCCCTGTCACTTCCAAATAGAGCGAGCGACAAGTGCAACAGAAGGCACATTTGTACTGGTATAATCAGTGTTAGACTGGGAAAAGAAAAGGGTAGCAGGTAGATGACAGAGCCCCCTAAATCAGGGCAACTTCACCCCTGAAAGCACCAAGGAAAGTTACACTGATTTGTGCATCATCTATGCCTCCATCCCAGCATAGGGGCTGGGCAATTAGCTTCTTCCCGGCACCTATTAGCAAGGCATATTAATAACCACCTCATCTCTGCCCATCCCTGTTTTCAAAAACAGGACCTTCCTACATGGGGCCATTTGTAAACATGCTTGGAAGGGTTTTTGTGTCATTTTTTTTTCTTTTGGTTTTGAAAGCAAATTTCAAAACTTCAGAGGCTGTCATGAAACAGAGGGCCAGCACAGAGCCAAGAGTGCCAGATAGAGGGGAACAAGCAAGCAAGAGCCCGATTTTGCATTATGCACCCATTCACTGAAAACAGAAATAACTCTGGCACCAGGGAAAGGACCCCAGGACCGCCACATCCCAGGGGACTGGGCTACAGAGTCACGCTCTCACTTTCTTGTTCTCCTTCTGGCCCCATTCAGCTTGCATGCTTGGCTTCTCGGGGGTGCAGCTTCAATAGGAGCTGTGGAGCATGCCCCCCACCAGCCCCTTGCATGGGCTGGCCGTCAGGGTCTATCCCTGCGACGTGGGAGATGGGGCTGTGACGTCTCAGGTTGAGGATTGCCCAGAGCCTCATTCCCTTGGTAAATGCGTTACCTGCTAGACCATGGTGCAGATGGTGAGCCCCTCTTATTGCTGTGCTTTACGTGTCTTACCCAGTTTCCAGGGTGTGTAATGCTAGTGTGACACCCCCTCCCGCCCCCGTGAGATCCTGCTGTACGCGCAGCAGACCGCTGCACTCTGCTTACACTTTTCACGCCCAGATTCTCTTCAATTCCCACCGTAACCGATCTCAGGTGTCTGGGTTTTCTTTATGTTCATTCAAACCCTGGAATCAAATAGGAGAAGAAAACATCCATGATGAAGCACCCTCCTTTCTTATCTGTAACCCCCCACCCCCATCTCTGAGCTTCAAGCGTACACTTCGTGAACAGTAAGGACTGAAAAAAATCCTATCCTGGTTTTTCATTCTCACACTCGACAAGCCAGCGGTGACACCGGCCCTTTGTCCCCTGCCCTTTGCTCCATGCCCAGCACACAATAGTGCCAGCCTTGTCACACCACACTTCATCCTTCTCTCTGGCCAGCTCACTCCATCTGCTTTTATAGCTATTGCTCTGGGGCCTGACCCCCACGGTCCACATTTTAAAGTGTACCTTTCTCCTACCACCTGTCTTACCATCTTAGCTTTTACATATCTCATGCCTATTCCGGCCCAGCCATAATGGAGCTCTCTGTTTCTTTGACAAGCCACTTATCATTTGTCACTTCTGTTTCTTTTCCAAAGTTATTCTAAAGAGCTCTCCACGTAGCTCTTGTTTCTGTCAATTTTCTGCCTCCGCATCTCTCGTTGTTGTCTGCCTAATGACGGGCGCTCGGCAGGAGTCGATTCCTCTTTTCGGTTTGGAGCTTGATCCGAAATTCAACCTGTTTGTCTTCGTTCGCTCGTCCAAGTCCCTGTCATGATGCACGCCTGCTCCGCAGCCTCCTCCCGTGCTCTCAGCCTTTTCCTTTCCATCCTTTCTGGGAACTTAAAGCCTGCTTGCCCCTGCGTTCACGCACAGGACTTTGTACAGCAGGAACACCCTTGCACTCTCCGTCCTTCCCTTAAATCGGTCTTGAGCTAGTTTGCCTGGAAAAGCATACAAGGAGGATGGCTTGTATGTTGATTCCTTTCGTTGTATTTTTGTGAATCAGCGGCTCCGCAGGGGGCGGATAGTGGGATGACCTTCAGGGAAGGTTAGCTAGGAAATAAGTGGTGGGGTAATGCTGACAAACAAGCAGCCACGGACCAAGCAGCGGCAGCACCGCCAGGATGGGGTGAGGAGAGCAAATGGCAGTGGTTTCCATCCTGAAAAGCCACATCTGTCCTTTGACAGTGCTGCGACACGGCAAGTGCAGGTCACCGCTATAAGCCTATCCAGCCCCCAGCCAGGGGTCGACAAGTCCTCAACGGCAGATCAGGGGAAGATGTTAGACCTCAACGGC